ATTCTACTGTAACTGCAACTGTGCCATTATAGTGTCACACGCAGTAGCCACACTGTTTTATCCAATGAGGTAATTGTTTCATGTTCTCGTGTTTCAATGCTGAATCCACTCCAGCGACACGACTGTCAAAACAAAAGCTACAGTAGCTGTTGATACTAGACATCCATTAACATCAAGACAACACAGTAAATTAGACACGACAGGACACATAATGATCTAATCCTCTGACTAAATGCAGAGAATCACTTCTCTGAAACCAGTCACACCATCTTATATCATTTGCTGCTTAAAACGTCATGTCACACACGGGGCCAAGGAGAAATAGGTTTTCCCTGATGTAATTCTTGATGTGACTTTAAAAAGATTTCTGATGATTTTTGATGACTTATTATAGAGACTTGAAAATTCCATTATTAAATTTGGAATGCAGTTTTTGGATCAGACTGGTCAGGTTTCTAAAATTAACATCATTGTCATGCCGAGGAACTTGACAGGAAGAAGATCAGCCCTGAAATGTGTCACCTTTGAGGATAAAGTGTTGTGAAGTGTTTGAATAAATTAGAATTTTGTAACTTTTCTTCATGGCTTTAAAGAGATGTGTGTCTTTTCATGTTTTTTTATTAAGTATTTAAGGAATTTAAATCACAAAATAGTTTAGATCATAACAAGTTCACCTTATTGGATGACTTGTCATGTGACAGGATTGGGCATGCGACGATATCTGGGGCAAAATAATGCAATTTCTATCTGTTGTGCGATTGCTGCCCTCTGAAAAAAAATGAAGCTAGACTGAGCTGCTGCCTTGAATTTGTATGAAGAAGCACTTGGAGTTGTAATTTTGACAAAATCGGAAAGTGATTAACAAACTGTAGTGTGAGTAATGAAAGATGTTGCCATTGAAACATTGCTGCAAAAAACAGATCTGAAATACATTGCTTTGACTTCCTGCTGAAATATAAAACTGAAGCTGGGAGCTGGTTGGCATCATCTGAGGAGGTTCAATCTGAAAGCGGAAATAAAACTACATTTAAACTATGAAAGAAGAAATTCTTTGTTTTAATATCAAATAGACGGAGTCCATCCTGAAACAGCTTAAGGTCTTAGTGACTCAATACCTACATTTGTGTTTTTGAACCTGAGATGCAGTGTAATTGCACTTGTGCATCAATCCAATCAATCATACAGATATTAATAGATAATGCATTCTGAACAGCTTCCAGATACAGAAATCAAAAACTTGTTAAAGTTTAAAACTTACAGTGTATCTGTGGTATAAGCTGCAGACATCTATAGCAGTAACAGTGCAATTGGCAAAGTAAAGGTGCATAATAATATTTTGTGGAGTTATAAGTTACAGTACATCGACCTGTGTGGGAGCCAAGGTGCTGGGACATCAGAGTTATGATAGCAGTTGTACCTCATCCTATTGTGTGCAGCTAAATGACCGAAAATAGAAAACCAAGCAACTTCATTAATTCTCAGAATATATCTCATCCACGTCTGGTATAAATCCAGATTCAGACATTTTTGTGTTACATGCCTACAGTGATGCATTGAGAATCTATCCCACTATTCCATACTGTTGTTTTTTGCTTTCTAGTTCACTTTCTATTCTTTCTTGCAGCAGTGTGTCTAAATTTCATATTAATTTATTCACAAGATCTACGAAAATATCTAAGTATTTTATATAATGAAATAAACCACTTTAATGGAAAATACTGTCTATATTTATTCCATGCTAAGCCTACAGCATACTAGTAAGATCTTCAAGATAGGGATACTTAACAAAAAGCCTCTGGGTTGGTTTTTTTGGTGGTACAAGGCAAAGTGTGAGCTGCACCGAGGAGTCATTTCAGGCTGATAATGTGAAGCACTGCAGCAGCAAATGATTAAAATTAGGCACAAAGTCGTCACATGATCATGTTCCACAACAGATCCTGAGCTCAGAGTTCAGCAAATCACTGATTGAAATATATCACAGGAGGGAGCAGCCGTCACACACACATACAAACTAGAACGGCACCAAAGAAATGCCTACCTTAGCCATAGCCCCCTCACAAAACCGGTTTAGAATTCACTAGATCCGCATCTTTATTTGGAACTGCACCAAATCGTGCACACACATGAATCAGTCCCCTTAACATGCCTGATATTTTTCCCATCAACATCCATGACATATTCAGCAAAATCAACAAAATAAAATGCTGGGTTCTTTTGACCGCATCCTTCCTCAAAGTCTTGTTATACTCCATCCAGTAGTTTAATGCGTAATCCTAACAAACTAACAAACCAAGACAAAATCCATCACCACCCTTGGCCCAAATCCTAAAACAGGGTTCACAGAATCAAATGCCTTACTGCCCAAACTCCACCTCGTGGGTCTGAAATAGGGATCCCACTCTCTGGCTTTAACAAAGTCGTGGGCTCTTGGGACTACAGTTTGAAAAATAAGGTAACAACACATTTCAGAAAAGAGAAGGTAAAGTTGGTCAAGCTTTCATCCCACAGGGCAGCGCTCGGCTGGAGCTGCTGTGGCAAAGGTCGGTTTCAGCACCAGTACATCAGAAGCACATCTACCAGCCGGTTTTGTGACTGCACGGAGACAAATAACGCCACATTGGGTTAGCCTTGAAAATGAGGCTCTTTTCTTCCTACATCTACTTTTTTTTTCCTGCTAAAAAGAAGCAAAACATCTGTGGTACAGAAAGACTGTTCAGTCAAGCCTTGTTTTGGTGCTAATTAGTCCAATTAGCCTTCCCCATCTCACACAGTTTTTAAACAAAGACAGGCAGCAGCTCTGCTCAGCTTAACCAGCTCTGCAGTTTGATGTGCGGCAGCGCTGGAAAGCTGCAGAAGCCTCTAGTTACAGACACAGACGCAGGCTACTTTAAACAGTCTCAGGGCATCCTTCCTTCACAGGATAAAAAACTGTAGGCTACCATGTCGTTTGAAATATTCTGCGTGCGTTCCTTTAGAGAGATTTCAAAACAGAAACGTGTTTTCTGACTCTGCAGTGTGTGGAGCTGAGAAATTCCCACGTGCCATAATTTCATGATTAGCGATGCTGAGAGGCAAGTTCTATAGTGGTCGCCTGTAGTGAGTAATAACAGATCTCACCAGGATGAGTAAATAAAGCAGTCAGATACAGTTGGACAGAGAAGTAACTGAATATTCTGATCATAAGAAGAAGAATTAATCATTCCTCAACAACATAATCTTCACACAAGCAGTTTATCATCGAGAATCAACCCACATCTTCTCACAAATTATTTTATGAATAATACAAATTAAACAAATGACTACTTACAAGTGTTATAATTATGTATAGTAATACACTGATATCCGACTGTTGTCACGCTGTTATTTCCACCTTGCAACAGCAAAGAGAACAACAACAGACAGCAGCATTTGAATATTTCACATATTTCCTCCTTGGGGCAGAGCTGCAGTAATAATTCACCAGCGTTTGCAGCAGAAAACAAGATTTCTGTGGTGGTTTCACTGAGTCCTCATGTTTTGTCCCACAAGGAAATGATAGATTCAAATGTATTTTTCTCTCTATAAACTCAGAGAGGCGGTCGGAGGGTCAGTAAGAAAAGTACAACGCTGTATTTGTAGATGTCTTCTCTACTGCAGCTGCTGAGATTAAGATGCTGTATCACAAATCGAAAGGCATGTCTTCTGCTGTGGGGCTTGGTCTGTGGTTCTTTTTTAGTGCATAGTCATTTTAATAATCTATTTATATTTAATATGATTATAGTGTGATAAAAATATTCAAAGTGTACTCCAATCAAGCAAATTTTATTTGTATTCACAATTACAAATTTGTTTCAAAGGGCTATGAGACATCCTCTGCCTTTAAGCCTTTTTGTGTTATTACCCTCCCAAAGAAAAATGGACCATGTATTGCTTTCAGCTCATCACTGTCCAATAATGTGCATTGGCTGCTACAGTTTCCTTTTTGATTGTATAGTATGTTCAAGTTATCATATATAATTTCACTTATGCCGTTTTATGCATAAGTGACCCTGGTGATACTGACAAGGCCGAGAGAAAACTCTTTCCAGGGAATGCTGCACCAAAATACACACATACAACATGTGAAATAAAAGGACACAGCTCATAACAGATAACAGCAAATGGCAGCAGAAAAGCAGCGTGAGTGCGAGGAGAGGAACTGGAGGAACGCAGGAAATCTAAGAAGGAGCAGGGTGTGTGTGTGAGCGCAGGGTTTTGAGTGAGAGGATTACAAAATATGAACCAGAAAACAATGAGTTCTGCTCTCAAACTGAAAGACTACACACTTGAATAAAGATATAGGAAGAAGAAACACACCACCACACTATAGAGGGATTAAATGCAGGCCACTATAGAGGAGGAATAAGGGCAAATTTCACAAATAACACAAAGATCTAATGAGATATGAAATTAGCAAACTCCCAAAATCAAATAATCAGCAATTCTAGGGTAGAAATATGCAAAAGAGGTGAAATGGATGAATCACCACCACACACAAAACAATGTGAATCAATCTAAAACTGTTCTGCAACACTGATAGTTGTCAATGCACATCAAGCTACAGTGACTTAAACCACACACAAGAACACCCATACAAGATGGCGACTCAGTCCCACCTTTAGCACGGCAGGAAAACCCATGAGAAAAATAGGGCCATTCAATAGATTAGATAAAGGCACAATAAGATGAGGAAAAACAGAGGTTGGCTCCCATTTGTTTACCCAAACAGGAACACAGTCCTTGTTTTTCTCAGGTGAAGACATGTAGGTGACTAGAATTTATATTTATATAGAATACAAATATATCTAAAAGCATTTCCATTATCCCTAAGCTTGTTACTAGGCCAACGACTAAAGTCTTAGTCCCTCACCGAACATGAAGAATCTAACAAAGCACATTTTTTTACAAACCTTTAGTTTGATACAATTAAATACACAAGTCCTGCTTTTTAAACATTTATTTAAAAGAAAACGGGATCCTACCTGATCAAACACCAAACAAAAGCTGGCCACATGCTCTCTCTCCCTCTCAGGTGTGGGGCCTGAATCCAGGAAGAAGAGCCCAGAGGTACCTACCCCCTTTTATAGACTCCGCCCCTTCACCTGGACTTCCTGTTAGCTTTCCCACCATTTTAAAATAGTGAAAGAGGCACGTTTAGGTTTTTTTAGACCGGGTGTAAAAACACTGAGGAACGAGACAGTGCTGATGTAGAGACATCTTGAAACAAGCTTTTTCTTCACAGCATCTTATTACCAGCTTGACCAATGTGTTCCCAGTGTTCACTAATCAAATCGAGCTGTGCATCATAATGACAGCTAACTCTATCCAGCTGTACAAAACAATGCTGCTCTTTCATTTCCATATCTCGCATCGCTGGCCAAAGAAAGGATGGTGACTTATAGCTGCAGTTTTTCAGCACAGTATTGTAGTCATCAATTAAATATTTGAAGTATTTTAGTGGGTTCTCATTGCAGGACGAGTCAGCCAAGCATGGAGATGTCAAACAACTAATGGAGCTAACGATTAATGCGATAAAATATGCTAATGACGGTCATCATTTCAGCCAGAAGTTGCATTTGTCTACCTCTTTGTGAAATCAAGGACCCATTGCTTCTAAAACTATATATTTCACTGGCAAATCTTTCTCCATTATAATTGTGAACTGCGTACGTCCAGTGTCGGGATAGGAAAAAAAAAAAGGCATCACATTCTTTCAGGGGGGGGAGTTGGATTTAATGAAATGGAATAGAAATTTGTGAACTGATTTGAAAATGACGTAAGAGACAAAACGTACTGAACAGATTGCAACATTTGAGGTTTGGCTTGAAACGTTCCTCTTTGATAAGGCACACAGTGCAGGATCAGGTGAGTCCTCAACCATCCCCTAGTTATGCTGCTACTGGCCTGCTGCAGGAACTCCCATGATGCACTGAGCTCTCCCTCTCTCTCTCTCTCTCTCTCTCTCTCACTCAATACCGACAAATAATCCTCTCTCTCTTTTTCCTTTCTTGCTCCCTTCTTTCTAACTTTTCTCTTCCCTTTCTTTAAGGAGGAAGAGCTCAAACTAAGAATTGTTGTGATGTTCAGTTTCTTGGCATGAGCCCTTCTTCCAGAGAGTCCAGCATGTTGCATTGCCTTGTGTCTACAGTAGCCCAGAATGGACAAACCAAACACTAACACCTCCGCCATGGATCTTTAAAAAGTCAAATTACACATCGAAACAATATTCTCAAAGACGGTTTCTGTCAATTTAGGTAGTTCCTATCTGGTTGTTGTAAGCAACTTCACCACTAGATGCCACTAAATCATATTCAGTGAATTGAAGTAGCTGCAATTTTTTTCTTCTGCTGTGTAACTTATTGTCATGGTTCACTCTCACCACTCAAACACATGCTATAGCTGCCAGCTGTTTTCAGTCGAAACGCTCTAAAAACTTTAGATACACAACCTGCACAGCTCCAAATAGCATACAGTGAATACTGTGCAGCATTTAGCCCCTAAAAAGCCTGTCAATATTTAACTTGTGTTTGTTGGTTGGCCAAAAACACTAAATAAAAGTTATTATATCTATTGGAGGCGTAAAAGCTATTTACGAAAATGTTTGCCAACCTAGCAAGTGGTTATATTGCATGTTCACGTGAGTCTGCAGATGCTGTGGACCGGGAGCCAGCAGAAGTTCAGGGCCTCATTCAGTCCTTTATTAGGTCTCCTATAACCACACAGCTTATTTGGTGGCTTTTACATCGCATGTATTGTGTGATACTCTTTTCCTGCCTCACACTGACATGATGGCTAACTGACACACAGGCTACAGTAGCTGCTGAGAAATGAACATCCCTTTGCCTTCTCTCACATGGTTTATAATTGCAAAGCAAACCTCTCAGAGGAGCGCCACAGAAATCGAACTACAGCGACCTTCTGCCAGTGATCAAAGCCTTCCTCAACCAGCAACCCCCCCGCACCAGCCAACAGCCCACCCCAGCGTCGACCCAAGAGACAAAACGAGAGAGCAAGGAGTGGAGAGAGCGAGAGAAATGGGTGGAAGGAGGGAGGGAATCCGCACAAACCGGCTCACGTCTCACCGAGAGCCTCCTGCTTTACATATGAAACACACCTTTCTACCTTTAATTCCCATGAAATCGTGCAGGAAGCTGTTATTGCAAAGGTTGGGACGTAGAGTAAGTCATGTGGAACGGCTACAGAGGCCATTACAGAGAATCCCTCATTACACCCTGGTCACAGCTTTGCAGTATTACCCCTGTGAAAACACACTCACCCCCGGCTGGATAAGTCAAAGAGAGGAGATTGTCTTATCTTATTTCCTCCCTTTGTGAACGGTCTCCAGGCAGGTTGGGTCGAGTTAAACTTATCAACATATGCAGCTTCCACTCGCTGTACAGCCAAACACACACAGGCTAGTTTAGATCGCTCTGATTTGTTGTCTGCTGTACCTTTACATTCCCGTCTTTGATTGGAATGGAGATGGATCCTCACACCACATCTTGGTCTGTGATCGCTCAATCAATTAATCAATATTATTTTATAGAGGTGTAGCTCACTTAAAGAGTGTCTTATCTGCTAAAGAAAACTATAAAGTCATTAGGGCATAGGGGGAAAAAAGGAAAGACTCTACAAAGCCTTCTTCTTACACTGTGGAGCAACATGAGTTGTTTGGCAAGGCTTCAGAGAGGAGAACCATCCTGACTCATCCATCAGGTTCACATGGATCCATGAAGTCAAGCTACATACTTTACAGAAGAGGCAGTGCGCAGGAATTTTAAATGGAGAAAAATGCATGGTTTGTAAAATACAGAATATGTTATCATCACACCAAATAAGAAAACTGTTCACATTCAGCAATGACATTACTAATGTAACCCTAACCCTAGCCATGCTAGCATCGGGGCTCAAAGTACAGCAGTTAACTACTTACCACAGTTTTGGTTTATGACACGGCTCTTCGCTGTGTGTCCTTCCCCATTTCATACAAACTGTCCTGCCAATAAAGACAATATACTCAAAGAGAAATTGGCAAAAATAAATTAATTAATTAGTTAAAAAAATATCCTGCAGGTTAGGGTGATGGGTGACTCTTAAATTACCTGTAGATGTGTGTTTGAGTGTTTGAGTAAATGGTTTTTTGTCTTAATTTGGCAAAACTGTCCTGGGATAAGCTCCAGCCTCCCTGTGAATAAAGTATACAAGGTTATAGCTCATAAACGATATCAATAGTACAGATCTTTTTTTCTTCTCAGTGTCCCTGTGATGATCTCTGACGCTGAATGAACTATGCCCTCCAGCTGTATCGCTGCTCCTTCACATGAAAACATTGTGTCATTCATATTAACCACCAGCCATGTGGATGTTAGAGCTGTTTCATAGATATTTAAGCAGCATATTGGTGCGGATGAATATTTAATTTACTTAGTGATCATCAATATTTGATAAGACATAATTTGAGGGAGTTTTTTGTGGAAAAATATGAGCGATCAGTAAGTTTTTTCTTCATAAAGCAATCAACGTGTTAATCCTCTCAACGTGCCATTAAAGCTGTTAGCTCACTTAACATGAAAAGATAAAAGAAACAGAGAAGGAACCACATAGAAAATCTATTAAGACTTTAATTTTCTCAATGCTTTTAAATACATTTTGGACAGAGGGTGATATCTTTTTGCATGAATAAGTTACATAATAAATAAAAGCAAACACATTTTATTTTGTCTCACATTTCACAATAGCAGCAGAAGTGGCCAACAGAGTCTCATTTACCTGAAACACCCCATTGTTTCCAGCTGACATCTTCAGAGGCCAAACCTGCAGAGGCGGTTCAGGGGGTTGTTCCAGGAGACTCTGCTCCAGTGTTCGGAAATTAAATGAGAAACAAGGAAAACACTGGTGTGGGCCCTAAAGCACTGGAAGTCACAGGAGGTAGCATCTTACTCTCCTGCCTATCAATTTACCCTTTCTTTTTTTTTCATGCAGCAGGCAATGTTTATTGATCACCGTGATTATCACAGTCATCTATTCACACTGAACTGCATTTTTCATAGTGTCTCTAGTGAAAGCTGTACAACGACTGCTTCAAAATAAAGCTGTAATATCGTGCTGAAGATTTGCAGATGCACAGATATCTTCTTCTAATAAGAATCGACTGTGGCTGTCTTGCTTGGTAAGACACTTGTTCATCATCAGAACAAAACAAAAAAACAGGCCGACAACAAATGTGGCATGACCTCAGATCTGCCCGTTTCTGCCGCCTTTACACAAATCACAAAACATTACTTTTTTTCAAAATAAAGTGGTCATATAGAAGGACGTCCAGTTAGATATCAAACAAGATAAATGTCCCAGATATGGATGAGCCAATCAGAGCTCTCCAAACATGATTGATGGGTCAGTGGGCCAATCAATGGCAGAATGTAATTTTATGTAGATGGGACTTTATGTCTAAATTACATTTATGTGGTACAGCAGGGACTAATGGCAGCTAGCCTCCATCAGTTCTTCCCCTTTAATGTCATTATGTTAAGTGGCGGTTGAGAATGGACATAACTCACTGAACGTTTATTATGCAAACAAATAATGTACCCATTCCTGCGCCGCCAGTGAATCATGTAGAATATAAAAGCAACATCACTGTCGCCATCAAGAGAACGTGCAGCATTTTACTGCATCAGCTGCATCAACTGCCGGCTCCTCTCCGGCCACATGACTAGTTTCATATTCTCTCTACATCTATGTTATCTGGTGCTAATTCTACAGTGCATTTTCTCTTAATAGAAGTGGTCATTTTTTGTGTCAAATAAAAACATTTGTGGAATTAATTTACACAAAGTGAACAGGTGTGGGGTCGGGTTATAAATCATATAAATCTGGCTTTGCAAGTAGCAGCGTAAGCTCCGAGCAGCAAGGCCACACACTGTCAGGGGGGGGGGACAAGGGGAAACAAAAGGACCGGCTGTTTTTTTTTTTATTTTACAAATTGATGAGGAAACTTTCACTTGTCTGATTGGTTTATTTCTCTAAGGACTATTTGCTGGGTGGTTGCCTGATTGCTC